AGCTGAAAAGAAAATTTCAAAGGTCAGCTCGAGAAGATAAAGCCAACTATTACAACAAAATGTGCAAAGATCCAGAGTCAGAAAACCATAATTCAAATGTATCAGTTCTCTGGTCTTCCTTATTCTTTGTCCAGCTTTCACACACATATGATGCAACTGAAAATACTGTGGCTTGGGTCAGATACACCTTAGTCCTCAAAGTGACATCTTTGCTCTTCAATATTTTAAAGAGGTCTTTTGCAGCAGATTGATTTCTTGACTGGTTCTATGAGCGCAAGTAAAATTAAATCCTTGACAACTTCACTCTTTGCCCCATTTATCATCATATTGTTTATTGATCTAGGAGTAAGGATTTTTGTTTTCTTTATACTGAGTTGTAATCCACACTGAAGGCTGTATTCTTTAATTTTCTTCCATCAAGTGCTTCAAGTTCTCTTTACTTTCAGCAACTAAGGTTGTGTCATCTGCATATCGCATGTGGTTGATGAGTCTTCCTCCAGTTCCTGGTGTCTTATTTTTCTTCATATAATTCAGTTTTCCAGATTATTTGCTCAGCATACAGATTGAATAAGTATGGTGAAAGAATACAACCCTGCCTCACACCTTTCCTGATTGTAAACCATTCAGTATCTCCTTGTCCTGTTAGAATGATGGCCTCTTGGCTCTACAGGCTCTGCAATGTTACCTATAGTTTGTCAGGATCCACACAGTAGGATGCCTTTGCATAGTCAATAGAGCACGTCTTTCTGGTTTTCTCTGCTTTCAGTCAAGATCCATCTGATCTGAATCTGGCTTGGATTTCTGGCAGCATCCTGTTAATGTGCTGCTGCAATCTTTTTTTAATTATCTTCAGCAAAATTTAACATGCATGTGATATTAACAAATTGTCCAATAATTTCCATATTCTGTTGCATCACCTTTTATATGGAATGAACGCAAATATGCCAAAATTCTTGGCATAGATGAGTAAGTGTTTCCAGCACTGCATCAGACTATTTGAAACATTTCAATTTGTATTCCATCAATACTTGAAACCATGAAGCTAATGCCGTCAGTGCAATTTGTAATTCTTCCTTCAATACCATTATATGCAAGAATTAGGAGGGCACAAGTTAAAGTGAGTTGAAGTAAGTACTGGTGATTGATGGTACATGCAGTAAATTGCAATCATTACAATGAAATGAAGTATATGATTTGTTAAACGTTAAACTGACTATCCGCTCTGTTAAACCGTCATTCAGTTCACAATAAAAAGCTTAAAAAAAGAACTGCTTGAATGTCAACCAATTCAATTTGGTGGTGACTATGTATTTCTTTCATTTTCTTTTGATGCTTCCATGCATCATTCAGTATTTTGCCTATGTTGTTAAGTATCATTGATTTGGTTCCAACTCATAACGACCCTGCATAGGGTTTTTGAGGAGTGGCTTGTGGGTTTGAACAGCCTTTCGGTTAGCAGTCCAGTGCTTATCCTGCAGTGCCACACCAGTGCTTCATTTTGCTCATGAATCCTTTTAATACTGCAGTCAAGTCTTGAATTTTATCTTCACTTCTTACAGCTTGAGAAATGCTGAGCATGTTCTTAACTTTTGGTTTTCTAACTCCAAGTCTTTGCATATTTCATTA